AAAATATTAAAATCTCTCTGTAATGAAGAATTGAATTTTATTTTTGAGTTTTCAATAGTAATTTGACCATAGCTATTTCAATAAAATATCTGTTAAGACGTGTCAGAATTGGGGCTCCCTGGGACGTACTTAACTAGATGGGGCAACACAGGCACCTATCATTCCTGATGTTGCACTTAGACAGACTACTGCAGTCTGAAATTATATAGAACTTATCTTTTCTTCTAGTTCTGTTTTCCTTTACACTTAGCTCTTCAATCCACTATATTAAAATCATATATTCATTTTTTCCAAATGGCTAACAATTATCCCAATTCTGTTTATTGGACCGTCTTTCTTCTGCTGTCTTAAAATGCCAGTGATTATATATTAGATTTTACTAATATCTGAATTTGTAGTGGTCTTAGACTCTTCAAAAACATGACTTGTTGGTATGTCTTTTCTTTCACTTGTGCTACACAATTATAATATTGTAGCTCAGAATATATGGTCAGCCCTTGCTATCTGTGGGTTCCGCATCTGTGCATTCAACCAACCACATATTGAAAATATTTGGGAAAAACGGCATCTAAACTAAACATGTGGGGCCAGGGAGATAGCTCAGTAGAATAAGCACTTGCCTGGCAAGGGCAAGGGCCTGAGTTCAATCCCTGGTTCTGCAAAAAAAAAAAAAAAAAAAAAAAAATAAAATAAAATAAACATGTACTGACTTTTTTTGGTAAGCATTCCCTAAACAATATGGTGTAACCACTTGGCATTTATATTCTATTAGGTATGACACGACATGACATTATATTACATGCTATACTACTTTGCACAAGGGACATCAACATTCTAGGATTTTGGTGTCCAAGTGGGCCCTAGACCAAATCCTCAAGGATTCCAAGGGACATCTGTATTTAGAATACATCAAAATTTGAAGTTAAAGATTCAGTGACACCTTTACACTAGTAAATTTTCAAATTGAAACCAGACCATCTAGGACCCCTGGGTGCACAGGTACTCCCCCCGCCCCAGGGCCAAGGTTGATTCTGCCGCAGTGACTTTTCCAGGGGATGCCACTCTCCTAAGTCCAGCTGCCTTCCACTGTCTGAATGTTGGCTTGCTCCCCACTTCTGTCAGTCCCAGTTCCCCTATCTCTTTCCCAGTGAGGCCTCCTGAGATCATGATCTCCTCCCCCAGTCTGGCTTTCCCACCCTCTCTCCTGTTTTGTTCATTTCCACAGCACTTTTCACTCTTTGATAAACTCAATATTTTACTAATTTGCTTATTGCCTATCTCACCCCTTCTACTTGGCCTCCAATATATACTTCTTATTTTTGGTACCAGGAATTGAACTCATGACGTAGAGCTTGCTGGGCAGGTGCTGTACTGCTGAACTACATCCCCAACCCTACTTCCAATGTCTTCTTATTGGCTAAAATATTGTTTGATACATAATAAATATTATAATATAAAAATTAATAATTTTAGTAGAATTTCTGTCTGATTCTTTAAGTCTCTTATGTTCCTTGGAAAACATATAGATCCTGCCCTTCTTTTCTTTTTCTTTCTTTCTTTTTTTTTTTTTTTGGCAGAACCGGGGATTGAGCGCAGGCCCTTGTGCTTGCCAGGGGAGCGCTTATTCCACTGAGCCATCTCTCTGGCTTCTTTTGCTCTTCTTTTCTAAGTGGTTATCTCTAATGTATAAGATGACTATACATGCATGTTGTAACTGATCATCTTGCTTTTCTACTTACAATAGTTTTTTGGATAATTCTTTTAGGTATATTAGGGAGCTAATATTATAACCCACAGAAGTTGATATTCAGCATTTTCTCTTTTCTCTGATCAGAACATTTATTTATTTGTTTGTTTAGTTACAGGAGCTAGAAGAGACCAAGACCATTCTACCACTGAATGACATCCCCAGTCCTTCTTACTGTTTTATTCTAAGATAGGGTCACACTAAATTGCCCAAGCTGGCCTTGAACCAGTGATCACCCTGTCTCTACCTCCCAAGTGGCTGGGATTATAGGTGTGTACTAACACACCCAGATAATTTTTACCAATAATGCACGATGAACATTCCTGCTGTATTTTGAATTTAACAATAATGCCTTCAGGGAGGCCGGGGAGATGGCTCAGTAGAATAAATGCTTGCCTGGCAAGTGCAAAGGCCTGAGTTCAATGCCCAGTTCTGCCAAAAAAAAAAAAAACAAAAACAAAAAACACCTTTAGTATTTAACAAAAAAGCATGTAAGCTATTGATTTGAAATATTCTATGGCATAATTAGGGAATTGTTATTTATTCTGTTCTTGTTTTATTCAGAGA